CATATATATATATATATATATATATATATATATATATATATATATATATGAGAGAGAGAATATGTTCGCCAGTAGACTTTAGTAATCCACAAGCGAACACTACGGTGGAAAAAACTAAAGAATACTAGCCGATCATAGTCAGCCGATCCAACACAGAACTAAGAGACGTACCGTAGTAATTTCGTTTAGAGCAGTATCAGCGCCCAGTGAGAAATCTGTACCCGGAACGTTATTCGAAATTGTCGCCGGGACCATAACCATGGGGATACAGAATTCTGGGTGCTTCTCCCGATTCTCCGCCAATTCAATCATGCATTCATATGCCTCGAAACCACCAACAACAAGGAGACCGCATAACTGATGTTGACGGAATTTCGACGCGACTACGTCGAGACCCAGCTCGCTTGGTTTATCACTGCAGAGGAAAAGAACAAACAAAATGTGTTAGGGGAATCGGTATTTAAATGTAAGTTATAAACCAACCACTTATCAAGAAGTACAAAAAGTTACAGCTGTCGAACAGTCGAATATTCTCAAAGCTTCGTTTTAGTCGGCGATTAGACAAATGCAATATGACCGATGGAAATTTTGTGTGATGATCTACAACGAGCATTGGAACGCTGTTTTGATCTCCCAGAAAAATCACAAGTGAGAATCTTTTGAACGAGATGCGAATGAACATTCAACAGTTAGGTGTGAACTGTAGAATACCAGTTATCTAAATTATTGGTTGCATAAAAGTAGATATTTTCAAACAAGAAGGGTAGGGACTAAAAAGCATCGAATGCTCAGAAAACCAGTTAAACTGATCCCAAAAATGCAGTAACTATTGTAAACACTCGTTACACATGTGGAAGTGGTCGGAATTTGCTAACATGCTTACTAGTCAATCACCCAGATTTCGCATTTCAAATTGTACGTCGCATTGTTGTCTCTCAGGTTAGTGCATGAATTCTGACTTGGCAACTGTTCACTTGGGTCAATTTACGTGCACCTGGAGAGTAGGTCAACACGCACAATCAAAGAGACGATTGTCTGAGTGAATAACGAAACATTCTTCGGTATCCATTCGAAAGGCTACTTTGAAGACAATCGATACTTCATTCTTGCAACACTTGGTCGTCAGTGGGTGTAGGACTGATTCTGCGAATGCATTTAAATGGTACGCGCAACACTTTTGAACCACAACAAGCTTACTATACAAAAATCTGTAATGTAACAAACAGGTCGATTGTATTAGAGAAACGCCCTAGTTCTATTTCATGTTCTAACTGGCGAAATAACCTACAAAACGCCTTGTCATAACCACATAACACTACCATAGTCCAACGGTCTTACCCGAAAATGCGAACCACTACTACTAACATAAAAGCTCTGTGATAAAGCACAAAGCAAGCAAAAAAACAAATACACTTACCGCCTCGTACCGAGCGCCGAGCCACCCATACTGACCCAACCGCGAACATCTTGCCATCCGATTTTGCTCAGATCATCATTGACCAAACCGTGAAATCCTTCGTGAATGCCCATGATTGTGTAACCCTTCGTTATCCCCAGACGAGAAAAACTACGAATTACTGCATTTACACCACAGGCTGGAGCTCCCACATTCATGACGCCCAAACGCATATTGTGCTCCTGAAACGGAGATAAATAATTTTCGGGCTTTGAAAGAAAGTGAAATGGCGATTGTTATGCATTCACTTATTCAAAAATTCAACCTCTGACTACAATATCAGGCGTTGCATTGAATTACCATCAGTTCACTTCCCACTTGGATGACGTGATATTTTTAAGTTAACTGTTAGAAATATATATATATATATGTGGCAAGTGTCTGATTCCAGACGATGTTCAATGAATCACAGTACAACAACCTTTATTAAAACGAAATAAGTTTATGATTTACTAGTGGGCGGAATGGTGCTAAGCTTCCCAGCAAAAGCAGATCAGTTTCTCGGAAGACTGACAACTGGAACTCCCAAACAGCTAAAAGCTATCTCATAAGGCAATAGAGCCGCTTGTGTAAATCGGCAATCCACTATTGGCTAATATCCAGTTTATCGTGTCACACGCCATTTGTAAGAGGTCAAACATACAGGATGCCCAAAACACTGCGAAGCCAAAACAAGTCAGTGATCACTGACAAAACCAGGAAGGTGTAAGTGCGGTTCGCAAACTTCCTTTTGTTTGGTTTAGAATCAGTTTTCAGCTAACTGTCCTGAATGCAGTGCCAGTGGTTCAAAAATCTGATTCGATGTTAGTTTTTCTCACTTTGATGGGAAAACACCTGTGCCATGTGAAGGCAGTGATAAAGGTTTTCTCAGCAGAGGCTATTAAAGACGCTTGAAGGTACATGATCATTTTGTGAGTCGCAGGGAAGGATCACTCTCAAAATAAGTCGTCCACCCTTGACCATATTGAGGCCTCCGATAAACGTAGGCCGACATTCTTATTGCCGACCCCTTGAAATGCTCGGCCTCTTTCTTGGCTCGAAAAAAAGCAAGCGGATGGCATGCAAAATATTAAGCGTGGAACGATTTTTCAGTTAATCAATTTCAATTGTTTTCGACTTTATTGCACACAATGCAGACCCAGTCATCTGGGAGATAACAATATTAGTAATAACTCCGATGCATGACCAATATGTGTTTTCGGTTGAAATGTTAACCTAGATGCTTCCAAGTGCTCACAAAGCCATGTACCTTTAATTATCAGTGATTAAAATTACGCACACCGGATGGATGCGTGACCAAATCTAAACGCCAGTGTATTTTTCGCATCCCGGACTCCAGCAATGGTTGGTGACCTTCTGACTCATCTTTGAATTATGTGACATGTTTCTTTTTCCTTTATGCCCTTACATTTCTCTTGCCGTGCTCTACTTAACCTTGTATTGAACTTCTTGTGTGTCACCCATAGTCGTTTGTTTGTCTATCCACTGAAGTTACTCTACATCGATAACTCACTCAACCACCAGATAGACAAAGTTTACGCTCAAGGGCGAGCTGCATGAACTAATGACAAGCCTCAAAGTTAAGCGGTTTCGATAGGATATTCCTTCTCTTTCGAATGGTGTTTTCCATGCACAACCCTTGCATTTCTTGTAGTTACTTCGATGAGCACGTTTCACTAACGCTTTGTTCACTGCATCTCGAAGACCGAGTTGCTTCATAACTTGAGGTATGTAACACTGTTTGACTCACTCCTTCTATTACAAGTCAGTTAATCGTTGGACGTATCCGGTGTGGTCACGTGAACCACTGAAGTACAATGCACTTGAATGAATCAGAATGTCACCTTTATTCGGTTATAGCAACCGACCACTGGTCTGCCATGGATAAGAAACTCAAGCTAGCAATCTGCTTCTCCATGAAAATAATTTAATCCAGTGATTTGTTCGCATCCCGAGAGATGTACTCTATAAAATCTCCAAACATTGATTACCAAAAAATAGGAACCAAGTCGTATTAAATCGGTACTTGATTTGTTGAAACCGAGAACTCGTGTCCGGTCACCGCAATGGTCGCCACTGCTTATCACGTGCGGCGCCAACAGTGCCCTCATTAATGAAACGATGGCGCAATACTCGGTCACAAATTTCAGACAGAATAATCCACATAAAACTCTTCCTTTAATGTCACCAGATCAAATCGTTTGTTGTGAATTAATAAAGAAACTGATGTGATCAGAAAACCACACGTATAAAACGGATCCAGTCGATTCAATGCGATTACACTAATCGAATTCCTACATGTATACTGCATAGTGTGGAAGAGTGCAGACAGTAGGCCATGAATCCATTCGGTGTGTCAGAGACCGAACTAAGCCGACTAAGTCAACTGGGTCATTGTGTTTGTGTAGTTATAATTGCCAAGAACAAGAACTGGCCGTGCTATAAATGTGCACGGAAGGGATTCGGCGATGTGCTCCGAAGGCAGGAAGCACGGGTGTTGTTATGACCTAGTAAGAATGAATATAATACACGGGCACAACCGAGGGACTTCATCAGCAATGTTGGTGATGGCGCGGCGGTCTAGTAGCTTTGGACTCTACGGTTCGAGGTTCGAGCCCCGCCATCGCCACTCTACTTTGATGGTAGGCAGCTTCACTGTCGTCCGGTTCAATACCACACCTACTTTACCGGGGCCTTATGTAGTTCACCATTCCAAGTTCCGGGGCTTAGGCTACCGGCTTCTATCAATGAACAGCAGGTCCTCGTGAATATGGAGTTAACCCCGTCTGTTGTTCATCACAGTGAAAAAGTGTATGATAAAAAAATCAATGAGCTACAAGATCACCACGGCATCCAAACTCGGCGTGAGTGAACGCATTCAAATCCAGCTCCGGAATTTTTCTAAACTATAGGCGGCGTTCAGGGTTTATTGATACATCTCGACTTGTCCGAAATCGTGATTGTACCCTCTGGTGAATCATAAACCACAGAAAGGCTGGAAAGGAACACCAACAGATGAAATCCTTTTCTACTCAATTACATCCAAGGCATCAAGTAGAAAGTCAACAAAACCGTTCAATTAATTAGATGCGGTGGCAACCAATCAAGAGCAACCTTTAAATACCTGTGGTAACGGTGAAACGGAGATTGAAGTGGGAACATTTTAGAAAGCTTTGCATACTAGAGAAGCAACAGTTTAACTGTTCGGTGCAGAAATGAAAATCACTGATTTTGGGAACTTCGGGGAATTTGTCTGACAATCGTATTGTTGGAGTACGATATGTGACAAACCTGGGAAGAGGGGTTTTATTCAAGCGGATAAGGGAGGAAAACCTCAAATGCGGTCAATCGTGCGGAAGTAAAACATAACTAGAAATTGAACAAACGGAAAAAAGCAGAAGCAAAGCAGTAATCGTTATGCAGGTGTAAAAACTAATGAAAAATGCAGTAGGTATCGGTTACTGGTAAACACCTGCTAATCCGGTACTCTGCATTTGCTCGTCTGACTGAAAACCAAAGAACAAAATGTGACAGACCGGGAACTATTTCAAACGGAATGCTGCAACTCGGGTGAAAATATAAATGTTGCGACAATGTGTTTGCTGGGGTTAAATTCGTGTAATGCCTAACTGAGTACACTGGAAAGTTGTTTTGTGCCCATTAAGATTTAACAACAGCAGATAAAATTTTTACATAAAAAACTTCACAACGGTCGACTGCCACTATCCTCAGTGGACCACTACGTCAATTGTTAACAGGTTCACGGCTTAATACATGCAAATATACGGGCATCAGGTGCTAGGCGTTGGAATTCTGGCGAATCAAACCATCTGGGCTTTCGGTCGTTCATTCAGCGCACAATATGATACTATCCGCAAAACCGGATCACGTGATTAATGACCAACTGCGGTTGTGTTTTACGGAATAAGAAACAAAGTGTGGTGCCACTTCACAGGCAGTCAACCAAAAATGCTTGCAACACTTTATAAGGATTAAACTGCAAATAACTAGACAAAAAATTGAATAGTCATCACAAAAAATGCTCACCACTTCACTTTTTCTTGGTCTTTCGATCTTCGAAAGCTTCATGTACGTCCATAGATTGCCCATGAAGCTTCTGTTTGAAGAAAACATGCAGGAAAAATAAACAAGCCCACAAATGTGCCTGAATAACTGATTAATTACAGTTTAAAACAAACCCAATCTCAAAACAATCGACAGAAAAGAAATGAAATAATCGCGGATAGCTCTGTTCGAAAACAGTCAGTTCAGTATGGATCAAACTTGTGATCCACGCTTTCTACGGAACCGATGCAGAGAACGTACCAGATTTCCTCAAAAGGTTGTCAATTCGGTTTAGGTTGGTATTAAAAACCACCCACCACCAGGGTGGGCAGATTAACGGCTTACTAGGCTCTGAAGTATCCCAGTTATGTTGGACAAATGACAACTATAAACAAAAGTGTAGTCGGAAGCCGGTTACCATTACGAAATACTGGAGAACACCCCTGTATACCCAACGACATACAAATTTCGCTGAGCAACGGTACTAGCAACGTGAGGCATGACGAAAACGTCAACGATATTTCTTTGATTTGATTATGTGTCTTCGTGCGGCGATTTTGATTGTTTTCTTTGGGATACCCACTTAGATGGAGGGGTGGGAGGAAGCTTGGGATGTTTGAAACAGTGTCGAAGTGGAAATTCACTTAGATCAAGGTTGCGGAGAAATTTGGTAGATGCAGGAGTAACACTGTTTCCTACACTCAACCATATCAATCAGAGCCTCAAACCCTTGATTACACTTATCCCGAGGTCTCCATCTGGGAAGAATAATGTGATCCATATGACCAAGTCTACTGTTCAAGGTTTTCACACTCTCTTGACGGAACTCAGTTTGACCACCATTGACTTTAGTCACCCAATACCTGCCTCGGTTAATACCACACGCCGAGAACGCCCGCCTGGTGACACGCGTAACACACTCCTCAACCAACGTTATCCTTGGAAGTCGAGTATTTGCTCTAAATCTCTACAGTTAACCTCAGTATTGCTGGTCCGGCTGTTCCGCCAGATTAGTGCAACACGGCGTATACAACAAGGTTCGAATAACAACAGGCTATCTTTATCCGGTTCCCGTAACGACCAGTTCCGTGTA